ACACTTCACAAGATCGATCTAGTGGCTCCATGTGTTCAAAAGTGTGTTATAAATATGATGTTCTGTGTAATGTTTTATGAATGTTCTGAAATGTCTTTATTTTTTATTTTTTTAGATCTTTGAGAACCCCAGTAAACATGACCTAGTCATTCTGGAACCTTCTCACACATAGGGTAATGATTTCATATCCTTGAATCTTGAAGAGGTGGTCTCCTAATGCCACAAAGCATGGTTAAGAGGAACTAGGAGAGAAGCTGTGGCTGCACCTTGGCTGGAAAGAGCTTCTGTCTCCCTGAGGACACAGCCCTCATTAATCATTGAACCTAACAGCATGAGGTTCATTTACCTGAAAATTCCCTAATCTCTCCTCTGCCTGCAAGAAGGATGCAAATCCACAGATTACCAGCTCCCAGGTTTCAACAATCATTTCCTCCTCAAGCTAAAAGGAGCTTAAACCTGTGTCGAATTAAAATGGTCTTTCAGGAGCTCCTCCACCATCTTCCCAGTCTTGCAGACTCGCTGAATAAATCTTTTTCTTTGCCCCAACAACTTGTGCTCAAGTCATCGGGCCCTTTTCAAGCAGTGAGTAAATGGACCTGGGTTCAGTAACAAAGCTACAAGAGAGACGGCAATTGTCCTCTCTATAAAGCAAAACAGGAAGCACAGGGAATAAGATTGTCACCCTTCAGGAGTGACTATCTCAATTCAGACAGTTGGACCGGCTCCTAGATCCCATCCCCGAACCTCTCATCCTGGAAATTCCTATTAAATTCTCTTTTAAAAATGTTTTTAAATGTGATTTTTTTCCCCTTTTAATGGACTGGATTGCTGTTATCATTGGAGACCTAGGGTGCTGGTATCACTATACTCAGTCACCTTCTGGCCATGTTCTGCCACTCTGCAGGACAGTGTGCCTTCAATGTCCCATAAATCAGAGCCCAGGTGATTGTGTGTGGTACAAGGTAAGGACCAGAGCCAGATGTCCAAAAAGGAGAATGAATCGTATTACAGTTTTATCTATAGAGATCTGATTTTTAGCAATCACTCAGGCAGCTGTTAAGGCCCTCAGGTAAACAAAGTAAAATGACATAAAGTCCCCCATTGTCTGTGGTGGACTGTCAGTGCTTTATCTCTGAGTATTTTTTTAAATGTCAAGTCTGAAATACAAGGGCAAAGACAAGAATTTCTGGAAGCCTTAACTGGGAATCCCTTCCACATGTCTGGAGACAATGCTTCAATCCTGGAAGGTGTCTGCTGCTGTTGATGTGCAAAATTTCTTGTTTGGGGGACGACAGAATCTACCCCTGAACTTTAGGTCTCACTCTAGGGAACCAAACTCTGAAACACACACACACACACACACACTTTACACATTTTTTCCTACTGCAACAATCAACTCCAGTGAATAAACAGGCAGAATAATATTTTTTAAATAAGGATTTTCATCTTCTCTCTTCATGCTTGAATTGAAAGCCCTCCTGAGCAGACACAATTCCTTAACATTAAATTCAGTTCTGAAGTACTTATTAGGAAAGACCACAAAGAGGAGACCACAAAGAGGACACCAAAATTAAGCATGCCCAGAACTCATCTCCCCAAACCCAGACGTGACCCCATTGCCTACTACTCAGTGTACTGGCTGTCAGTGGAACACATGTAAAACCCAGGTCCGAGGACAACCGACAGCAGCAACAGCAACCTGCTTCCCACATTTTGCCACAGAAATCAAGACACCAATCCTGCCCGAGCCTTCTCCTACCTAAAAGACTGGCTGCATTTTAAATCCAAAGCTAAGTCTCCTGTCACACCGAAGGAAGTTTGTTTTTAACCCCACTACCTTCTCATTAAACCATCTCACTCTAGGACAAGAGTCTACCCAAGGTGAGGCTCCTGTGTGTGGAGAGCAGGACTGAAACTAGGGGAGCAGCTCAGCAGAGAGCAAGGGCCTCCAATGCACGAGGCCTTGGGTTCGATTCCCAGCACCAGGAGAAGGAAAGATAGGGAGAAGAAGACAGGGAGGCCAAGGAGGAGGACAGCAGGCAAGATTCAAGTGGTCCAAGTTTTACAGGCCTTATACAAATCCTTTGTGGGCTTTTTAGAGGCTCACCCACCTCCTGCCTCTGCCAGATTTTCCTTTCCAATCTCTCAAGTTTGTCACCACAAGCATCTTCACTCCCGTTAACCTTAAAATTTGTTTTTAAATGGCAAGAAGTGCAATTTGCATGAAATACGATAGGAATTTCTTAAATTTGGTACGATTTAAGTCTCCCCACAATTATTCATGCTCTAAGAGGTGTGTATATACGTGCACTTTTAATAGCATTAATAAACGGGATTCCTTGGACCACGTGTCCCAAGGTAAATTCAGTAATTACCATGTGGAAGGGCCACAACTTACTTCAAGGTGGCGGGGGTGGTGTCACGTGCAACTGTGATCTACACCACAAGGAAGCATCACACACTACCAGGCTTTGAATAGTGCATGAATTCCCTTACATTAGAAAATGGCATCACTTCTGCGGACAAAGGGCAGCCAGTGTGACTCTGTCCCTTCATTTGCTATCATAGGACAGTGAGTGCAAATGGTAACTCTAGACACAAAAATGTTTACCTCTCCTGCAATATCTTTTTTTTTAAATTTATTTTTTGGTTAGACATAATACCTTCATTTTTCAAATTTAGTTTTATGTGGCGTTAAGGATCGAACCCAGGGCCTCGCGCATGCTAGGCAAGCTTTCTACCGCTGAGCCACAAGCCCAGCCTTCCTGCAATATCTTATATAAGGCTTCATTCATTGTTTTGGTGCACTAGGTACAAGGACAAAATAATTCAAATATACTAAAGGAATTTTCTCCACACTATGTTATAAAATACACGTTCTCTTTAAAGTCGGAAGGAAAGGCAGTGTTTAGCATCCACCCACAAACCACAGCCAAGAGTTACCTGCACTGGCAAAAGGATATAGCTCTATTTCTCTCTGATTTCTGAATTTCCAGTACAAATGAACCCAGCACCCTGCCTTCATGAGTGGTCAGGATCTGATGCTCATGAGCTTTCTGACCCCAGCCAACCTTGGGCCTCCTGACATATCTTAGGCACCAGGATTCCAATCTCATCCAACTCTTCAACTATCTCTCCATACTATGGATCTTTGGAGAGCCCAGTTCCTGACCTTAACACCAGGTAAGAGGACTTCTTCACATAATTACTCTTTTAGTGTTCTCTTAGAACATTTACATATGCACAAATCCAGGATCATATACTAGGCTCTGCACTTCAAGGTCCCCACCTCCACAGACTGTTTCTAGAACAACACTGCTGCAAAACTAGACACTGAGACTCACCCCCACACTCTTCTTATAGACCTGTGACTAGCTGATCACATATTGCCAATGACACTCTTCAAAGAACAGAGGAAACTGGAAGTCACACAAATGATATGAATAGTAACCAGGAAGACATTTCATTACTGGGTCAAACTGGATTAATATGTTGCTTTATTTAGGTTCTCTGTGAAACAGGACACCACCCAACCTTTAATCCATGGCTTTCACAACAATGAGTCCCACTCTCCTTTTGCAGGGGCCTAGATTTCCTCCACCACAAACCTCATCTGCTGCTGATGCAAAAGTATAAGGTGGAAAACAAGATCATCTTTCGTTAAAGCATCAATCACATAAATCAGGTTAGGAGAGAAATTTCCAGGAAGAACGAGGACTTTGTTTAGAGCAGCAAAATTCTAACTTCATTTAGCAGTCCTAGCTTGCAGCCTAGTGCAATGTGGGGCTGCAAATACATATTTGTTCACCTTTTTTGAAAATGTAAAGCTGTTCATTGTTCATTACTAAGGTGTTTCTCACTAACCCTATGCAGAGTGTGACCATAATATTTTAGGCTTGTTTTGAGAAGCCACATAAATATCCACATCCAAGGAGTAGCTTGCTTCAAAGAACATGCTGAAGGCCTCAGAGGGATCCAAATGCTACCACTCCTCAGTTCATTTTTGTTTGTTTGTTTGTTTGGTACCAAGGATGGAACCCAGGGGTGTCTAACCACTGACATCCCTAGTCCTTTTTTTGAACTTTTAATTTTGAGTCTCACTAAGCTGCATAGGGCCATGCTAAATTGCTGAGGTTGGCTTTGATCTTGTGATCTTCCTGCCTCAGCCTCATGAGTCACTGAGATTAAAGGTGTGCAACACCACGCATGGCTCTTCAGCCCATTTTGAGAAGTCAGTTCATTAGGGACAGTCAGTCATAATGAATGATACATTAACTGATCTTTTTTTTTGAGACAGAGTCTCACTAAGTTGCTCAGGACCTCACTAAGTTGCTGAGGCTGGCTTTGAACTTGTGATCCTCCTGCCTCAGTCTCCTGGAACCGCTGGGATTACAGGCATATGCCACTGCAACCAGCCATGAACGTAATTTTTAATAATAATGTCTTGCTCTATGATTGGATCTTAATATCCTAACAACTAAACTGAAATCACATGACCATATCCCTTACTCACTGAATTCTGCTTTCAATGATTTTAGCTCTTGCCTTTATTAAAATCTATTACAGAACATATTTCTACCACTAAGATTATTCAAATGGATATACAGAAGCAATTCCAGAATGTGTGGAACAGTTTATGCTATGCAACCTTGTTAAGAGTATTTTACAGCCTGCCACATGGACCCCATTGAATGACATTCGACCTCACAAAATTCTGGTATCTAATCAAGGTCAACGCCAAGCTTATTGTCACATTTCATGTGAAACTCAAGAGATAACTTTTAGGTAGCTTTCCAGCATAGCCTAGATCAGATGAGCATAAATTTGACTGATGTTTTCATTTCTTTATAACAAAGGGTAAGAAAAATCTATTTTCAATTTTTCTTACAATAAGACAACCTAGTCTTTGATATAACCTATTCAATGTTACTGTCTTCTCTTTGAATGCATGAATTCAATGGAATGTACTAATCAAGGGCTTTTAGCAAAGAAATACTTACGCCATGATGCCTGAGAGATGAAACATTTCAGCTGTTATGTAGGACAAATAGCTGTACAGGAAGACAAAGAGCGGTTCAATCACACGGATATTGTGTGTGAAACGAGTAGTAAATGCTGCTATAAATCCCAGGAAGATGCCAATCAGCACTCCGCCAATTCCCACCACAAAGAAGTTAGCAATTCCTGCAAACACGTCAATGGTCTCGATGGTTTTCATCTGGCAAAAGGATTTGAACAAGTTGTAGAGGACCTGGGGGGAGAAAGAAAGCACATTGTCAAGACCCCCTGGAATCCCCTCTGTCTCCCTGGACATGGACAACCTACCTGGCCTTCTAAGAGGGACACTTCTTCTGGGAACCCAAGAGGATGACTCAGGGCACTCATTGTGTAGTTACTTGTCGAAGATATTAATATTGTGGTTCTAAACAAACACACACAGATCTTTGATAAAAGTATGCTGTCAGGAAAACTACTTTTAAAAGTAAAGGCCAGGAGATTCCAGGGTTATTACTTCACTTACTCTGAAATCATCCCATTTTCCAGTATCACCTGAATGAGTATTTGAAAATAGCTGTTCACCAGCTTCCACCATGACACTGTTGTTTAGGAGTCACATGTCACAGAGAATCTTACCAGCACTCCTGTGGATATATTTGCAAGGTCCTATCATGGAGTCACTCCATGGAAGGTGGAAGGGACCCACCCATCAGTAGAAGCACTCAAGTAAAGTAGTCCTCCTCCCAGGTCACCATAGTCCTCACCCCATATCCCATCTCCTCCTGCCTGCAGGGGAGCTACAAGAGTTCCTTAAATCAAAGAGGGTGTGTGTGTGTGTGTGCGTGCATATATGGAGGGGGAGGGAGAAAAAGCACTCACAAGCTGGACACTGGCACATATTTTGTACCTCTGAAATAATGAGTCAACACTGTTGTTTGGTTTCTTGGTTTCTGTACATGGCTTTGGGATAGGGAAGACTTCAAGAATGCTAGGCACTTCATGCATACTGAGTAATGTGCTTTTGACCCTTGGAGGGGGAGGGGTACTGAGTTCAACAGAATAGGAAAGGATGGTTTGAGTCCTGCCATTTTTTTTTTTTTCACAAAACCAGAAAGTCAAATGCAAGTTCAGTTTCCCTACAGCTTTTTCACCATGATATTTACAACTCTGGGAGCACCTAGGAACTTGGGGTGAGCCAACTAAAGAGGAGACAAAGGCTGTGCTATACCTTCATTTCAATTCTGAGAAACTCAAAATTGATCCAATCTGTCCATGGTCAAATGAAAACATAATGTCAGGGGCAATATCAGAATGCAGTTCTCCTGACCTGGTTAAGGTGCTCAAGGTTCAACGTGGACAAGTGAGTCAGAGTCCTCCTGCTAACCAGCCTGTGTGCTGGCAAAAGCCACCTCACACTAGTTTCTACTTCACCTGAGACAATTTACATAGCATACCACATTACGGGTTTGGTATACTTTGTTTTCTCTTTTCTCCTGGATTATAAGTTCCTCAGGATCAAACAATACCTTATGGTTTACATCCTCCATGTTACCTCGTAGATTCAATAAAGGCTTGAAAAAAGTGAGTAATTCCTGAGAAAGCAGTGGGCATTTTCTTTATCCTGATTATTGATATAATACCCAAGAACATTTAGTATCTTACCATCAAGAAATGACTTGAGAGAAGAACGAAAGAGAATTCCACCCTTGAGGAATTCAATATTTTGAAGATATCATCATTTGCCAAACACAGAAGAAACTGGTTCCAAGTAACATCTGCTTGTTACTTTCAGCCAGAGGCTGGCTGCAGGATGGAAGACCAACCGCAGTGGCTTACAACAAGGGCGTCCTGAAAGGGGGTCAGAGATGTGCTACATACACCCCAAGCCTCCAACTGCCAAAGCCAAAGGTGACAGTCATAAGCATCTTGGAAGAAAGAGAGAAGACAGATGGGTTTCCGAGCCATTCTGTGATACATTGTTTCTACCCTGATAGTGTCCCTCTAATCCATCTGGACATGAAAGTTCTCTCCCCACACTCCCTGGCTCCAGGGCTCCCTGCCTCTAGTTTGCACCAGGAGTCTTACTGCTTCATTTCAATAATGCCCCCTACAGTCATCCCAAGAAACCTCCTCTAAATGCTGCCCTTCCACTTTCCACTCCCAAGATTAAAATCTTTGGTTGCCTGACTCCGGAAGGCCTGATATTCTCAATACACTTGACACACCTTTAAAAGGTTTTTGTTTTTTTTTTAACATTTTTATTTCTCTTCAACCCCTGGGTGCATCCTCACCAAGTCTGGGTGAGGATTTCACTACTGCTTCCCAAACCACATTATATTTATTGATTCCTGCCCAGGTTTTCTTTCCTGATGCTTCCCTTGAAAAAAACTTGGTCACTAAACCTGGGGAAATTTTATTTATTTTTTAAGGCACAGCTAACACTACTGTCTCTCCCAAGAGCCCTCCTGGATGACCACAACCCTTGTGAATCCTCCCTTCACCGTGACCTCTGACAATGCACAAATGCATGCATCCCAGACTGTTCTCTGCTTTGCAATGCACAACCTTGTGTTGATGGTACTGCCTCTTGAGTGAAGGCCTCATTTCCTCAACAAAATCAGAAATTTCTTTCCCACACAGAGCCCAGGGTTTAAGAGAGTGTCTTCCTCCCCCTCTCCCTGTCCCCACCCCATCTGGCACTCTGATAAGACCTACAAGGGACATAAGTGCTCAGGGTCACAGAAGAACTGGCACCGGCAGGTGGTCATAATTTCATCATCCTTCCAAAACTGTTTTCTTGGGCAACTCAATCCATCATTCTATCAAAGGTACAACTACTCTAAATATCCCTTTAGATGTCATTAAGAGTCGTAGGCACTTGACTTTCAGCACACTGGGCAGAAACTCCAGTTTGATCAATCGCCTGAGATGTCAGCACCATGTTTGAAGAAATGGCTTAAGCAGAAACGTTACCTTGACAACCAGAATGCCTTCCATGACCTCCAACTTGGTTGACACTGAACCTGACATCAGTGGATCAGCTCAAGATAAAATTATTTTAGTTAAACTGGCTACATCTCCACACTTAGTTCATTCGACTTAAATCCTTTAATTTTATCCAAGGGAATTGATACAGAAAAGTTCTTTGAAGTTTTAATATATATGTATATATGCATGATATGTACATATATATATATATATATATATATATATATATATATATATATATATATATATATATGATGTAAGAGGGCTGCTAATATTTCTCCACCAACTCTGTACAAAGATGGGGTCAACTTGACACTTGCATTTTTAGGAAATTAAAATTTCAGTGATGCCTTTGCTAAATTCCATAGTGAGCTAATTTGACAGATTCATGCTTTTAAACTGAAATTGAAGTTCTGTTTGTTATGATTATTCCAATAAATATATGTAATATATATAATTTGGGAATTAGTTATTTTTTCTTTCTTTCTTTTTCTTTGGAGGGGAATTGAACTCAGGGGCACTTAACCACTGAGCCACATTCCCAACCCTATTTTGTATTTTGTTTAGAGACAGGGGCTCACTGAATTGCTAAGCACCTCACTGTTGCTTAGGCTGGCTTTGAACTCACCATCCTCCTGACTCAACCTCCCAAGCTGTTGGGATCACAGGCATACGCCTCTAGCCTGGCTTTATTTTGACTTTTGATTTACAATATGCACTGAGTCCACAGAACCATGTAAAGTAAGGATGCAAATACAATTTTATTAAAGTAGCTCTATTCCAGAAAAAAAAAAGGTGTTCAGATCATTTTCTCTTATATAAAACATAAATTATAATCACTCTTGCATAATGAATTTCAGATCTATTTTGCTACTTTCAAAGTCAAAATTAAATTATAAGTGGTCATTACTTACCAATCTTCCTCAAAAATTCCACTTCAGAGTCCCCACTCACTGGCCCCTGGCGTATATCTCAGGGTCTGCCTCAGAGCAAGCTTTCCTGAACTAAGCCTAGTTAAGGGTAGAAAACTAGGAAATGCTTGAGGAAGCTCTTTAAGACTTCTTGGAAAATTTGTGAAACTTCTCAATAGCTGCATTAATGGGTTCTGAGAATGACGTTGACAATAACCATGTGAACATGTCACTTGTCTATGGACTACTATGGAAGTAGCAGGATATCTCAGACAGCTGAGAACCGAAAGAATCTTCAGATTTTGAAAAATTTTCATAAAATATGAACTATAAGAGACAACACAAAAATTCTATTTAGAAATCACACATTTATTGTTCAATTAGTTGTCCTTTTTTGGTTAATTTTAATACACAATAGTCTTGGACAATACCATGAAGTTTGATCTACCATGTATATATACAATTTCTCTTGCTTTTGAGACATTTCTGTACTAGAATTTCTTCCTTTCACTTTTCCGTGTCAGTATTAGATTCCTCATCATCTGGGAAGAGGTTAAGAGCTCTAAAGCTACAATTTTAACATTAGTTCTCTTTGATTTACCTAAATCACTCCACCTGCAACTCCTTTACTGTAGGCATCATGATCCACATTTTCAATACCTTTTCTAGTCTATGAGTTTCTCTCCTAGAGATAAGTCCCTCTTCTGGAGATAAGACTGGAAGAATGAATCAAAGAATCTCCAATAAAACATCTCCACCCCTATTCTTTGAGGACATCTGAGTAGGAGAAAAAGTAATAATTTTGACACCATTGTTCTCATTGTTCCTGACATGTTCCATTAACTACAGTCTTCTGCCAATTCAGTGGGAGAAACGGTAGTTTATTCTTTGGCATTAGGTAGGGAAACCCTTGGGCACACCCTGACATCTCATCCATGTTCTGAGAGCATGCATGCTTGCAAGCCAGTGTCTTGGTATCAAGGAAGGCTCTTTTCTGCAGAGCCATTGGAGTTGTTCTGATTTACTGGCTCTGGCTGTGGACAATGGCTTTCACCTCTAAACCAGCTGTGTCCTTTCTCTGTCCTTGTCCCTCTTCCTTATTGGAATGGCAAGCTGTCAGTCTGGCCCACTGCCCTCCCTGGGCCAGGCCCCACTCTCCATCCATAAATCCACAGTGGATGGCTTCGTGCCTCTGAGAGGAAGCTCAGGACTTGCCTGCTGCCTTAGCACACTCTAAACACTGACTTATCCTGATCCCTTCCTGAAATATGATTCTGGAAAACCTTACAGAATGGATGGAGACTCAGGTGTTTGAGAAATTTTCTGAGAAGCAGGGACGCAGTATAAATGGGAAGCATTCTGGAACTGGCCTGACTCTGCTGAGCACCCCCTAGAAGGAGTGCAGCAAGGGTTCTCCTTTCTCTGTCAAGTTCCCTTTTCATTAATAGATTCACTCCAAGCATTCCACATGCAAATTTCCACAGTCTCCTTCCACAAGGGTAAAATTTACATACTGAAGTCACTGTGGAAAACTTGATGCCTGAGGAAGTTACAGTGAGTTATAAAATGTCTTCGATATTGTGGCAGTTTCAAGTTAAGATTTAATATTGGTAAGTTAATGACTGTTAATAAATAATAGAATATATGAATTTGGTTTGGTTCTGGGAGTGAGCTAACAGCAATCTTAAACACCTATCTTAGCAGATACTCTAAAATTATGGTCAATAAACTTTCAATAAATTGTCTACATAACAATACCCATATAGAATTAATAGACAGCCTTAGAGATGATATTTTAGTTTCAGAGATCCATGTTTGCCGTAGAATATGATTAACAGAGGACAATGGTTTCTATGTAGGCTGTTAAGTTAGGAGTGACATTTTAAGAGTAGGAGTTAATAGAAAGGGTATTTAAAATTGTTATTTAAATCATGCTTTATTTAACATTTCCCCTGCCTCAATTTTCTTATCTGCAAAATGGGAACAATACCTACTTGATAGGTTCTCACAGAACTGAGCACAAGGGAAGTATTCACTAAAGGTTAATGGTTATCATATCTGTCACCCCACTACAGCATCGCTAGAGGTAGCTAATTGATTTATTAATCCGGGATCACTTGGGAATCTCTAAATATTACAAGAAGAGCTGTTTGCAGATCTGTGGGCAAGGGGAGATGTTTCCTCCTCCTTTCTCTCCACCCTTGCCTGAGTTCGGAATTGTGCTAAACCTTAAGATCATAACAGCCTCTGAATCTAATTATGTGGCAATTAAAAGAGAATTAAAAATAAGTTGTTTTTCAATTAAATACCCACTTAGGAGAAAATGATGAGAACTAGGGATGTGCTGGTTGGGTAGTAACAGAAAATGAACATGTGGCAAAATTTTTCATTAAGATTGTTGACATAATACATAAGCTGCCACCAGGTAGAAAATGGGCACTTAGTAGGTATTGTTGTTCCACAGATGTTATACATATTGCATATCGGTGGCATTACTTCTCACAAAGATTTCTGGGATCTGAAGTGTTACATTGCTATGAAAGACCATCACATTTAAAAATGCCAAAATGCTAAATCATCAGAGGCACAAAGACCACAGTCACATTCATGCTCCTCTGAGGACCAGGCTCTTATATGAAGGGACTAGCTACATATTTTGTGAAACCTGGTGCAAAATGAAAATGGGGACCCAGTTGTACAATAAGAAATAAAAAGTAAGCAATACATTTAGAAAAGTATAAAGAATTTCAAGGCAGTGACACTGAAGCATTAATCTAAGTGAGGGGCTGATACTGTGATATATATATTTGGTCTTTGCCCACTTTCTTGGCATACAACTTATAAAATGCTTGGAGTCTCTGAAGTATATGCTAATGATTGATGGCTGGTGGCCCCATTGTAGCTTCAGGATTGGAGCTGGTCACTGGAGAGACCAAGGTGGGATTAAAAGGCTGGGACTTTTACTCTGACCTCCAAAGAGGACAAAGGGGCTGAAGGTTAATTTTATCACTAGTATCCAGTGATTTAATATTCCGCCACGCCTATGTGATGAAGCATCCATAAAACTCCAAAAGGGCAGGGTTCAGAGAACACTTGGAAAGCTGAACATGTGGAGGTTCTTGAAGGGCAGTGTACCCACAGAGCACATGGAAGCTTCTGCTCCCTCTCTCCATCTGTATCCTTTGTAATATCCTTAGTAAACCAGCAAATGTGTTTCCCTGAGTGCTGCGAGCTTCTCTGGCAAGGAAGAGGTCACAAGAACCTCCAACTTGGAGCCTCTCTGTCAGACGCACAGGTAAAACACCTGGGGCTTGAGATGGCATCAGAGGGGGAGGAGCACTTAGGGATGAGCCTGCCACCTGGGGGATCTAATGCTATCTCCAGGTGGGCCGTCAGAACTGAACTGAATTCCAGGACACCTAGCTGGTAGCTGGGTGGAGAAACACCCACTAACAGCAGCAGTCAGAGGCACCTTGTTCTCACAATATGGTGGGAGAAAGTGTGTTTGGTTTGGTTCCTCTGCGTCCTCAGAGGAAACCTGCAAAGATGCAGGTGAGCACTGGGCTCCGGGTGCTAGGCCACAGTAACGCGCATGACGTGTTACTCACCACTGTGACAGCATCGTTCAGCAGGGACTCCCCAAAGACCAGGATGTAGAGCTGCTCATTGACATGGATGTTCTCAAAGACAGCGAGCACCGCCACGGGGTCCACGGCTGAGATCAAACTGCCAAAGAGCAGGTTCTGGAGCAGAGTGATGTCACTAAGGCCAAAGGCTTCAATCTGGCAAATGCCAAACAGAGAGACCCCGATGCCAATGGAATTCCAAAGCGTTCCTACCACGGCATACCAGAAAATAGTGCCTATGTTCTCAAAGAAGGGGCGAGTGGGCATGAAATAGCCGGCGTCCAGCACGATGGGCGGCAGGAGATACAAGAAGAAGACATCGGTCTTCATCGCGGGGGGAGACTTCTCATCCACACCAAAGATAATGCCACCAAGTAGAAGTCCGACCATTATGAGAAGGCAGCTCTCGGGCACGATGGTGGGCAACTTGTGATAGAGATGGAAGCCTGATAAGGAAAACACAAAATCTGGGTTATGCAGGAATTATGGGGAAGGGACACTTGTTTTTTTTCTAACCAATAGGTATAATTTCAAAATCTGCCAGGTCTCCCAGTGTAATTCACTAGAGACTGGCTTTGCAGATTACAAGGTAAATCAGATGATTCCCTCAACACCATTCATATTTATTTATTTATGTCCACGCCATTCATCACTATCAAGGTACAAACTGGACTATAAATCAAAATTACAATGCTACAGCTACACATCATCTACATAGTACTTTAAAAAAAAAATTTTGTAAACCCCTATTAAATTTTTCTTAAATGCTGGGACTGTGGAAATGAAATAAAACAACAAAATTTTGTATGTAAAACAATTTAGTGATTTCCCAACATTTTCAGATGTTACATTGCATCCTTATGAAAACCCTAACAAGGCAGTCATTTTCATGATTTTTTAAAATTTAAGGGCCTCCAAGGCTCCAAGATATCTAGGGTATTACCAAGGTGGCTGGTCACAAACCCATCTGTGGATTACTGTTGCCATCTCTGGCACTCATAAAAAATAATAATATTTATTTTTCATTTCAGATTCTTTCACTGGGGATGCTGAATATATTTAATTTTTGAGATATATGATCCTTCAGAAACAACAAATAAGTTCATCAAGATGCATCAATATCTACTTGATGAAAGATATAAATTTACCATGATGTTCAATTTCAAAGAGCTTCCAGTCAGGTTATAGGATATATTATTTGTGACTTACTCCAATATACAAGGCTAAGTGGAATTGAGCCCAGCTAAGAGCTGTGAAAATACAAAGGAGAAATCAATGTGCTAGAGAAGACACCAAGGAGGAGCCAGGATCCATGCACACTTAAATAGACAGATAGGAGGGAAACATCCACTTCCCAAACCAAGATAGAGTCCAATGTAGCTTTAACACGTAGAATACATGAGAGGAGTCCTGTGGCAGAAAGGGGCAGAGAAATGCCAACACATACGGGCAACTATGGTTTGGATCTGAAATGTCTCCCAAAGGCTCAGGTATTGGAGACTTGGTTCCCACTGCAGCCATTTTCAGAGGTGGAGTTTGGGGAACTGAAAGGATCATGAGGGGTCTGACCTCATCAATGGATTAATCCATTGATAGATTCATAATTTGAATGGACTACTGGGTGGTACCTGTAGCCAGGTGGGGCATGACTGTATGTCAAGGACGGCATTCCCTGAGGGACTATATCTTGTCCCTGGTCCATTCCCCTCTCTCACTTTCTCTCTGCTTTCCAGTTGACATGAGCTGATGAGCAGCTTTTCTCCATCAAGCCCTTCTACCATGAAGTTCTGCCTTGCCTCAAGTCCAAGGCAATGAAGTAGGCTGGTTGTAGACTAAAATCTGTGAAACTGTGAGCCTCCTAAATCCTTTCTCCTTTAAGTTATTTCTTTAGATATTTTGTTACAGCAATGCAAAGTTGAGGAATAGAAACCTAATTCAGGAAGATCACTTGACAGGGCTTAAATGAGAACAGAGTTTATTTGCAAGACAGTAGCAAGTCCTACAGAAGGCATTTAGTATAGTTTAGAATTAAAGCAGAATATGTTAATTTTGTAGTTTAAATAGATCCCCTCCAAAATTCCAGTGTGATAGTATTAAGAGGTGGGACCTTGGAGAAAAACAAAGGCCTTTAAGAAAGAGACTTCTTGCAGGGTTTGGTGAGTGCACTATTCCACTCTGATTTGCCTTTCTGCCTTCCACCATGTGAGGACACAATAGGCCCTCAATAGACACCAAATGCTGGCACCCTGATCATGGACTTTTAGCCTCCAGAACTATGAGAAAATAAATATCTGTCTTTATAAATTATCCCAGTCTGTTCTAACAGCATATGGACCAAGACAGAAATGTATCTAATTATAGGACAATAACACTAAAATAACAGAGTAAATCCTAAGAAACTAACAATCGTACAAGTTTTAATTCGTAAATCCTTTTAACAGGACTAAAAACACAGTGTGAGATACTTTGTGAGCTAAAGAAACAGTCATCACAATACTTGGAAGGGATTTGCAGAACTCATTTCTAAAGGATAAAGTGGACATCTGCATGTGGAGTATTTGAACTGCTCTTCAGTGTTGATTATTTTATAATTCGCCCTATAATAGGCAGTAAAACTCAGCTGTTCTTTACTCGTGACCCCTGGCCAGTTCACTGACCTAACCAATAAACAGAGAAGTTAAGAAATCCTCTGACAACCATCTTTGCAATCTCCCCACACGTTGGGTCCTTTTATAATTAACATTTCCTGTAGGATAAGAAACTTGCCAAGAGCATCTCCCTGGCCTCCCAGGATCCTAGTGCAATCACCACCTTTGGGGAACACAGCCCCAACCTGAAGTCTTCCTGCATTCAAAGCTGCCATCTGATAACAGCCCCCAGCTTGAGGTGCAGCAGTCCTGCTTTTTGCTCTCTGCCTCTGACGGTGGACAGGTTACCGGCATGGCCAGCACCCACTGACTCATTTGTATAATAGAGACAAATGCACCTCCCAGGTAAAGATCTGTAAGGATAACTGGGTGGGTGACTTTCTGATTTCTCACTGCACCTGTAATGTCACAAATGCCTCCAAACTTGAGTCACCTCTCTTTGTTCTACAGGAAAAAGCAAAAGAAAAAAAAATTTTAAAAGAATGCCCAGGAAAAAAAAATTAAAAAGGAGCCCTTGGATATAAATCAGAAGATAGGCAAAGCCTGTTTTTGGAAGCTCCCACTTGCTTTTTGTGCCTTCTTCTTTCCTTTCACCTACTTGACCTTGGAGACCCAGTGCTCTCACATGGAGGCTCTCCAGCTAAGAATCCAGGTGGGGAGAGCAGAGATCAGAGCCTCTACATGCATCTCAGAAGCCAAAGCTCAAGTGACCTAACTGATCCTGACCGACCAGGAGACCAAGCCAGCCTGAAACAAACAAGGAGAAGCAAATAAAATATAGCAACCGATATGCAGGGTGCAATTAGGAAGGACCACTGGGACAGAAGGCCAAAGGGGTGTGGAGGAAGCAAGAAACAGAGAAACTAGGTCGTGCTACAATCAGGAAAAAAAAAACGTAACAAACGCAGGAACACTGGTTGAGGAAATCAGGCATTCTCATTTCTAAAACATCTGCTGTCCCTTCTCATAGGAATTTCAATTTTGTCATTCAAAAATCAATCTGATTTACTCTTCTGAAGATAGCCGCTGCTGAATCTGCCCAGTTGACCCAGGGTCAAGAAGGGGTGACATGATCTTATTTCCTTGCTATTTGGTGAACATAAGCAGAACTGTTGAATTGTAAAGTATAATACTCTGCTGACAAGGAAGGCTTTGTGTGTGTAAGTGTCTGTGCTTTTGTGAGCCACCAGAATAAAAAAGGCATCAGCAAAATAAACAGTGCAAACAAATTAGAAAGGCTTCTTAAATTCCAATACTCACAGAATAAAGCAAATAAGTCACCTATCACAAATGTACAATGCATGCATGCCTCCCCTTTAAGAATTTCTTCCAGGGAAAAATAAAGTTAGTAGAATGGGCTTTTCTCAGCATTATCATTCCACCTAATATGACCAAGAAACGTACCAGACCTTTTTGATGAACCATGAGCTGTAATCTGTATAGTCCAGAGACTGATCACTTTTTCTCTATAAAGGTTTACATGGTAACTATTTTCGACTTGAGGCCTATATTTACTAGTCTTTGCAGTGCAAAAGTAGCCACAGATCATAGCAGAACAAGTGGGTTTCAGTCAAAGTTTATTCCTATTCAAATTACATATTCATACATATGGAAACTAGAATCCCGTACAATTTTATAAATCACAAAATATTTTTCTTTAGATTTGATATTTTTTTATGGGGCAGGGGCAGAGACCAGGGATTAGATTCAGGGACACTCAACCACTGAGGCACATCTCAAGCCCTATATTGTATTTTATTCAGAGACAGGGTCTCACTGAGTTGCTTAGAGCCTCACTGAGTTTTCTGAGGTTGGCTTTGAATTCCCAATCCTCCTGCCTCAGCCTCCAGAGCCACTGGGATTACTGGCTAGATTTGATTAGAATCACTTAAGAATGTAAAACTTACCTTACAGGCCATATAAAGCCAGGCCACATTAGGGCCCCAGGCAATAACATTACCAATTCCTGGCTTAGTGTATTTCCTGCTAATTTCTGTTTAGGGTATTTGGGACATATCTTGAGTCACTCAACTTTTGTTACTAGTACATAAAAGTCAATGAGGGTTGGTGCCTTAAAAAATCATTGTTTTATTTTAATTACAGTAATGTGGTGTGAAAGCAAACAAGATTAGAGGTCGCTTACACAAAACATACAGTGAAGAGATTGCTCTATTCGAGTGAATCTATTTTAGTTTTTCTCTGTATACAAATGCTGAAATTAATTGAGCTTAAAAACTAAAGATCTGTGAACATGTGCAATGTGATGAATTCACTGTATTTTTTCATTACATCTAAAATAACCTATCTGTCAAAGTCTGGAAGGAACAAAGTGTGAGACAACACAGGAAGCTTCCAGATAGCAGGATCCACAGAGAGCAACAATGTAAAAGTTAAAATCAGAAAACCGCCTCCAACAAAAACAGCCAAAATAAGTCTAAACAACAACAACAAAACCCCCAAACAAACCAACCACACTGTTCTAATTAGCATGAGAAGAAGGTGACATAGTGGTAGAGAGTAGAGATAGAATCTCAGGAGAGCAAGCATTAGCTTTAGACAAAGACAAATACAAATATTCTATGAAATGTTCTAGATTTCATTTATTTTTTGTTCTATATTTTAAAAGAGCTTGAAGAGAAAATAATGGCATCAATTGGATCAGCAAATATTTGCCAAGCTCAGTTAAATACAGGGCAAGTCCCTGTGGGTACCAACAGGCACCACACACTGATGGTGACTGCTGGTCCAGGCGCAGGGTCTCAGGGCTGGTGATCCTCAAAGAACACTCTGGAAAGCCC